AAAGTATTTTTTTTAAAATGCTTTTAGTTAAAGCAAGCTAACGATAAAGAAATTAGCTGCTCCGCTATTAATCATAAGGCTTATGAATACGTTTTTAGAGTACTTAAAAGCTATATAAGTCTTTGCTTTGCTCGTGAGCATACGCGGATCTTGCTCGGGTATCTTTTAAGTCTTTACTTAGCTAGTAAAAGCGTAGAATGCCGTTTGAATCTTTAGCTGCTTATATACCTCGTTAGCATCGAAGGTGCCGTAGGTAATTATAAAACCTTCCGACATGTTAGCGTAGCTGCTCGATTCGAGCGGCTCGTTTAGTAGGCTTGCGATAAACTAATCGAATTCTTTCGTAAATACAAGTGGCAAGCCTTTAATCGATGCTACGTATTAAGAGAATTTGCTTTTCGTCACCTTTTTTGCGTCTTTAAAGGCTTGGAACTTGGCGACGGATGCTTTTTTTTCGTCGAAAGTGTGATTAATGCTTTAGCAACCTAGCTTTTTGCAAACAAAACACCTTTTCTTACCTTTAATAGCCTTAGCAGCTTTCTTATTTTCGAAGTATTAGCGGTCTTAAATAAAGCATTCGTATTCTTCGTTTAAATCGGAATCAGCCTTTAAAGTGTTGTGCTAAGAGCAAGTATAGTCGTGTGGCTCGCTAGAGCTCGCGTAAGCTTTAGCTTTAACGAGAAGTCGAAAGGTCTTAGTTGCAAACGCAATAGCTTTGCGAATATCGGCAATTGCGGCGGTAGAAGTAAACGTAAAGTTTATTCGTGCAATCGTAGTTTTTAGCACGTTCTTATAAGCTAAATACAGCTTGTTAGCAAAGCTTCGATCGTCTCTTAAACTTGGTCGTAAAGAGCCTTAAATGCTTTTAAGCTCTTTAGCGAGCTTCTTAAAGCACTCGCTAAGCGAAGTCCTTAGATTCTCTTTCTTGATTAAATCTAGCGAAATTTCTTTTTAACGGTCGTATTTTGCTTGCCGCCGGTGGTCGGTCTCGAAGTGGTCTTTTATAGCAATAGCGTTTGCTTTAAACGTCGGAAGCTTAGCTTTAATAACGTGATTGTAATAAAATGTAATAGCTTCTTTCGTAAGCATAATAAGGAACGCCGCTAAGTAGTCGTCGGAGGTTAAACCGTACCGACTTGCTTAGTCAGCAAAAATCTTTAATTAAGTCTTGAAGTCATCGTCGGGTCTTGAATACTTTAGCTCTTTAAGAAAGCTTCTTGCAAACAAAACTAACTCTTTCGCTCTTAAGTAAGGGTCTGCTGCTCTTAGCTTAAGGAAGTCATCGTTATCGTCGTTAAAAGCGCTTAGAGTGCCGTACGCAAGCGTGCTATGCTTAGCTAATAGTCTGATCGGTAAAAGGTTATCGATATAGTTGCCGGTGGTCCGTCCTTTTTTAAGGTTTTTAAAAAGCTCATTTCCGAATCCGAGGTCTTTTAAAGGTCCGTTTCCGAATCCTTTTAATAGTTTAAAAAGACCGTTTTTACCTTTTTTGTATCCGTGCCCTCGATCTCTTTGCTAATCTTTTTCGTTTTTTCTTCGTCGGTCATCGCTAAGATCGCTAAGGTCATTCGGGTTATCGGCTAGTGCTTTAGCTTAATAATATCCGTATCTTTAAGCTTGCTTTTAGCGATTCTTATACTTTTAGTTTCTCTTTTGCTGATACGTGTCTTTTTGAAAGATATAAGTAGCTTGTCGGTACGTCCGAAGGTGCTAGATCTCCTTTTCGAGTTGCTAAAGTTAAGCACGGAAATCTGCACGCTATCTTTAATAAGAGCTGATTTTGTCCGGAATGCTTTTAGGTTTTAGCGGGTCCTTTTTTAGCGTATAGCTTTCGTAGCTTCGATTATTATCTAGTCCGATAATGATCTTAAGACCGTTTTTGTTGCTACTCGGTCTTGGCTTTTCGAAAATTCGGCTGTAGCCCTTAAGAAAAAGGTTTAAGGGCCGCTAAAGTGATTTTAGCTTTTCTTGTATAGTTGGCGTATTGCGTAGCGATTGATAAGGTTGACGAATTAAGGACGTCGAGTACGCTAAAGTGCTTCGTCGTAGCTCTTCGTTAGATTGTATAGCGTAAGTTCGTAATTCCGTTATTTGCTTTGCTATCACCTTTATATTTTGCTTTATATTCCTCTTTTCTTTCGCAAATTCTTCGCGTAACCTTCGAATTTCCTTCCTTTTTTCTTTTTCTTTCTTTTTTAGACTTCGTAAGGGTGGAAGTAGTTGAGGCGTATCATCTTCGTCGTCGTCGTCCGTAAGGTTTTCGGCGGTCCACTTTGAATCGAGGCTTAAGGGTGTTGCTTATTGCTCTTTTATTTCTTAAAAGGTCTACTAGTGCTGCTGTTCGTCGTTCAAGAGCTTGACTATCTTATTAGCGTAGCCCTTTTGCTTTAAGGAGCACTATACGCCTTTGGATAGTAAGTGTTCTTTAAGGCTAATAAAAGTAGCAAATTTAAGGCCTCGTCTCGTATTGTCCTTCGTCATCGTAAAACTAGTCTAATCTTAGCGTAAGAAAGCGTGCCGGAATAAGCTTTATAAGTCGTAATCCTTTAGCTCTTTACACTTCGCATCTAAGAAGTCTTTTACTATCGCTCGAGCCGTGATCTTACTGTTTGGCTTTGCGTATAGTAGCTCGTTTAAGTCAAATGAGATGCTCGACATCTCGTTATTTGGCCTTTCCGAGAGGCTTGAGAGTCTTAGGTATAAGGTTTGTTTTGGCTGAATAGCTAAAGGTTCCGTGGGTAGTGATGAGACTCGAAGGGTATAATACTTTATTGCTCTTTGTCGGCTGGACTTCTTACCCGAAGGTCCAGTTGCTCGATCGGCTATAGTTGTTGTCTGTTTGTATGTAAGTCGATTTAAATTAGTTGAGTTGCTATATATAGCAGGCGCGGCTTTTACAACGTTGAAGTTATTGTTTTGAAAGTGATTTGGTTCGGAATTACTCTTCCGTAAAAATAAGGAAAATCGGTAGTATAGAAAGCGACTTAGTACGGAATCGCTCTTTCGTTGTAAAAGAAAGAGGTATCGTATTAAAAAGTATCTTCGCTATAAAGTCTTAGCTTCTTTATGATTGATTACTTAATAGTAAATCAACTATTGATTAGTATTGGATTGCTTTTAAGCGATTAGGAATATGTATTCGTAAAGTCGTAACGGTCGTCAAAGTACTTGCAATTGCAAAACATTCGGTTAATAAGGTATTTGAATTCTGTCTGCTCTTTAAGATTCAAAGGAATTGATTCTTTTTATAAGACTAGAAAGAATCACGTGCACTAGCTAACTAATAGGTCTACTTGTCAAGTTAAGGGTCCCTTGACTGCTGGCATGCTAAGCGAGGCATGCCAAGTGGCCCGTGAACCATGGTTCACGGGTGAGCTTCCCCAACTACGACTACTACTACTACTAGCTAGCTAAGGTCGATATGGATATACCGACAATAAGGCTTTTAATAAGGTGATTTAATAGCTGATCGATCACTTAACACGAGAGATCTATTACGTGCTTTTGGACTTAAGGACAGCGAAGCTCTTTGTGTTCGTAGATAAAGCGTTTGCTAACAACGCTGACTTTAGCTCTTAGATCGGTTTCGTAGCTATCCTTAGCAATAAGGCTTACGTAAGTGAGAACGAGTTTATTTTGACGGGTAACATCTTTTATTAGGTGTCATAAAAGTGCAAGAGGGTGACAAGGGCAGTACTAGCCTTTGAGTTATACGTTATATCCTTAAGTATCGATATAGTTATTGCTATGTCGATTACTTTTACTCAAATCATAGCTCAGCTAAGGATCTTTAACTTCTTCGTGGTTGTGTGCACTAACTCTTACTCGCTTTACGAGTGTATAATAAAGCTGAGGACTACTAAAGAAAAGCGCTTCATGATCGATATTATAGCTATTCGAGAGTCTTACGAGAGGCGGGAGCTCTTTGAAGTACGTTAGATCGGAGGCAAATCTAACCCTGCTAACGCTATGATCAAAATCGAGGCTAATACCTCTTTGCAAGAGCTAGTTTTGACTAATACCTTGAAGGTGCAAGTAGACGGGTGGGTGGAAAGGCCGCTGTAAGAGAAGGGACAGTGAAGTTTGGTGGAGTGATTGTTTTTTTTTGTTTTGATCACCTTCCTTCTTCTTCGGTCGATATGGTAGTTGGCAAGGCATTGCTTGCTAAAGAGAGAGTTGCCGGTGTCGGTATATAGCCATATCGACCTTAGCTAGCTAGTAGTAGTAGTAGTAGTAGTTGGGGAAGCTCACCCGTGAACTATGGTTTACGGGTTATTTGGCATGCTTCGCTTAGCATGTCAGCAGTCAAGGGACCCTCAACTTGACAAGTAAACTTATTAGTTAGCTAGTGCACGTGATTCCTTCTAATCGTATAGAAGGAGTCAGCTCCCTTGAGCCTTGGGGAGCAGACAGAATTCAGATACCTTATCAACCGAGTGTTTTGCAATTGCAAGTACTTTGACGACCGTTACGACCTTACGAATATATATTCCTAATCGCTTGGAAGCAATCTAACAAGTGCACTTGTCTTTATTGAAATTACGGCAGCAAGCGCTTGCTTTGTCCGTAATCTTTTTAACCGTAAGCTTCTTTGCTACGCTGCCTTCGGTAGCTTTTGCGCTTTGAAAGAAAAAGAGCTAATTATCTCGTGTATACTCTTTTATTATATCCGCGAGCAGTTCTTACTTAGCAACGTCGCCGATAATGCTAAAAGCTCGTTGTACGTAGAACGACATAGCTAGCTTTAAAATAGCGCCGTGCTATTTGTAGCTCTTCGATAGCTTTATGATTCGTTGATAAAAGGTTATTAAGGCTTAAAGCAAACCGAGTGAAGTTAGTTCGTAGAAATAGCCGATAATCGCAATATACTTTAAGAAGTTGTCGGACTAAAACTCGAGGTTCTTAAAAGCCGAAAGCTTTCCGATTGTCTCTCGACTTTTTAGCTTTTTATTTTCTTAGACTATGTCTAGCTTATTAGTGCTATGCAAAGCAGCGTTCAATTATGACAGTCGAGAGAGGTTCATAAAGTTGTAAGTGTTCTTAGCAATAGCAATGACATCTTTTTTGCTATATGTGACGACACGCCAGGTCTCCTGGACGCACCTCACATGCGCCAAGCTACTTCCCTCCTTTTTTCCTTCGTATTCTTCGTATTCTCTCATTCCCCGCTTTTGACCCATGAACCATGGTTCACGAGTCCTTGGCGCTCCTACCTTCGTGTATATAGACCTCAGCTACCTTCGACCTCTACACTCGGTAGTTGTTGATTCTAAGTCATTACTTTGAGATTCTCCTGAGCTCCCATGTGAACCCCGCGCTCCCGTGAGTTCCTTCAGGTAATCGCTTAAGGTCGTCACACTATATTTACGGAAGATAAACAAACTCTTTCGCTATTGTAATGATAAAGAGCTCTTATCGTAATCGTTTACTACTTTCTTAATGATAAGTAAAAGCGCAGATAGTGTTAATAAAGCAGCTATCTTCGCTTTGTGTTTTTCCTTCTTCCTCTTTTCGTCGTTCTCGAAAGCAAGCCGAGCGCGTTTCTCGGCGAAGGATTCGTTAAGAAAGCTTTAGAATTCGGCCGCGTCTTTTATGTGTTCTATCTCTTCATCGGAAACGGCACCTCTTTCTTCCACTTCTTTTGCATTTTCGTGTTCGGGTTGAGTCTGAGCGCGCGCGGGGGCCTTCTTCTTCTTAGCGGCTAAGAGAGCAGCTCTCTTAGCGGCCTTAGTCGCGTTTGCTTTAGCCGTGCTTGCGATTTGCGCAAGGGTTTTAAGTGGCATTATTGCGAGTGACTGTTGATGGAGAAGAAAAAAAGAGGGAAAGAAAGGGGAAGAAAGAGTACTTAACTCAAATTTGATCAAAGGGTTAAAGAGTATGCAAGTCATGAAAGCAACAAAAGGGAATTAATCTAGTAGGCAAAAGAGCTGCTTAGATCTCATTCGAAAAAAATCTTTGTTGTTAAGGTTTGATGACTTGCGGAGGAGAAGGTGGAATAGAAGAAGTTCCAGCTTAATGTGGGGGAATCGAGGGATTCGCTTAGTTCCATCATTCACTCATAAACCCATCTATCATACACACACATATATATATCCTTTACTTACACAACAGGCAGGCAAGCAAGCAAGCAAACCCTCCTCTCCAGACTCCAGCTACCCTACCCTTTCCTCGAAACATCCCCTCCCCCTTCCTCTTTAAATCACCACAACCCCCTCTCCAATCCCCAGCAAAAGTCCATCATTCATTTCCTCTCCCTACTCTGAGCATACGAGTAGGTATGTGAATGAGCGCATGAACGACGAAGCAAGCAAGCAAGCAAGCAGTTTGACCTTGATAATTGAGATGTGCATTTACTTACTTACTTACCTTATCTACCTATATATTATACATACATACATACATACTCACCTACCGACCATAAATCCACACACGAGAATCCCATCTCACCTCATCTCATCTCATCTCACCTCACCTCCCGAAGGAGAGAGGAAACCCCGCGCTTCGCTTCGCTTCGCCTGCTCGCTCGCTTGCTTGCGTACGTGCAAACAAATGCTCACACCAAGTCTCCATTCCCCGCTCATCTCTCACCTCCCATCTCTCATCTCTCATTCCCCATCCCCCATTCCCCTCCCATCTCTCACCTCTCATTCCAACCGCCGCCATGCTCATTCATGGTGATAGCGATACTGATACTGATACTGATGAGTAATGACTCATTCATAGGTAGGTAGAGAGAAAACAAACAAAACAAAACAAACAAAACAAACAAAACAAACAAAACAAACAAAACAAACAAAACAAACAAAACAAACAACAACAAACAAAACAAACAAAACAAACAAAACAAACAAACAAACAAAACAAACAAAACAAACAAAACAAACAAAATAAAAACAAACCCCCCCCCTCCTCCTCCTCCCCAAAAAAACCCAAAAAAACCAAAACCCAAAAACCAAAACCAAACACAATAGATAGATAGATAGATAGATACTGTAGCTACAACCACGCGAACGAACGAACTAAAAAAAAAATAAAAAAATTCCCCAACCCAACCCAACCCAACCCAACCCAAAACTTTTCTGCATCGGCAGTGAAACCCCCCCCTCCCCACAACCGCGCACGGAAACCAGCTCGGTATCGTGAGTGAGGATCGTGAGATGATGGTATCTTGAGATGATGGGACAGAACAAGAACAGAACATGAAAAGGACATGAATAAGACAAGAGAAGAGATCTGGCTAGCATACACACACACACACACACACACACTGTGCCTCGATCGGGGCTGACGCTGAGGCTGAGGGTGAAAAAAAAGAAAGGACTGAGGACTGAGTAGGCTGGTTGGCGGGCGGGCTGGTTGGTTGGTTGGCGGGCTGGTTGGTTGGCTGGTTGCGAAGTAGTGAAGTAGTGAGTAGTGAGTAGTGAGGTAGTGAGGTAGTGAGGTAGTGAGTAGTGAGTAGTGAGTAGTGAGTAGTGAGTAGTGAGTTGCTAAGTAGCTAGGGAGCGACCTACTCCTGCTGTGGTGGTGGCTAAGGGTGGAGACGGAGTTTGCGGTGGGTGATGGATGGCACGGCAGGACGAATTGACTGGGGAGAGCGGATGTTGAGGTGTTGAGGTAGAGAGAGAGGAGGGGGGGAGATAGAGGGGGGGAGAAAGAGAGGGAGAGGGAGAGGGAGTGAGAGAGAGAGAGAGAGAA